CTCTCTCTCTATATATATATATATATATATATATATATATATATATACACACACACACTAGTTGAGATGCACGTGCAATACACATGGTTGAATATAATAATTATTTAATTTAATAAAAATAAAAACGAAAACAAAGTTCTTTGTGGGATTGATCAACATTTCAATAATCTCTCTCTCAAATAAAATATTATCATTGTTTCCTTCAACACAGAGTGTGACCACGTGATCTACTATTTGTGAGTTATAAACACATTGATCTAGTACAACATCTCTGTTTATTAGTATCTTGAAGTCTTCAAAAGATGAGTGATCATTCAATTCGCAAATGAATTTTGCATATGAATTTACTTGCAATATGTCCATTAAACTTTTACTTATGGTCATATTCACATTAATTTTTAGTTATGATTTTACTCATATTTACATTGTCTAATATTTTTATTCAATTTTATAGCACATTCTCCGTATCATAGAAGTAAATTTGAAACTATGAAAAATTATTTTCTTACGAAATTAGAGCAGGCAGATTATGATATATTTCGGCACATGCTCTAAATATAAAAATTCTTTTTTCTTTAATGCAAGGTCTCTACATAATCTTACCCCGAACAATGTGAATGAAAAATACTATCATAATTCACTTGCCTAAGACAATTGTATTGTATATATGACATATAACTCATATGGAATATTCACATTGCTAAATGGATTTTGCTGTTGTGAGAGCAAAATGTTAGAGGCTCGTATTCAAACTTTTTGGCTTAATAAAAGACACAAGAATTGGAGTGCATAGCTTATATATCATAAAGAACATACTAGTTCATAATTTTTTTACCTAATAACAATATTATTACAACGATGTTACTATTTAGTAATAAATCAATTTTATTATATAAGATTATATGACCCTTTTTTAATAAGTTATAAAGTATATATATGAAAACTTTGATATGTTGTGCGTAGCAGAAATTTCGGCAGAGTTTTTGGTGCACAATAAGAGAGAAAGATCGCAATAAGAATTCTCGTCTCACCAAGGACACAAAAATCTGAAGCAAATATCTCAACAAAGTGAGACAGCTCTTCCTCTCATCAGTTCTAGGACTGACCTATCAAGGAAACCTAATAGACTATTACAATAACCACAAATAGCAAATCACACAAGTTTTACGTGGTTCGACAAATTGCCTACGTCCACGGGGCAAGGAGGGGGAGATCTACTATTAGAGGGAGAGAATACAACTAGGGTTTACAATCTCACAATCCAAACCCTCAAACAAACTCTCAAATCTCTCACAATCTCTCTCTACAAAAGAATGCACAAAACCCTAAAAACAATTGCTCAAAATTGCCTTTTTCTTCACAAAAGAGCGGCTGTTTTTCTCCAAGCACAAAGCCACATGCCAACTTTTCCTCTGCCTTGCACGTCCTCTGTTGCTTGCACTTTTCCGCCCCTGCCTACTTTTTTTTCCAAGCCCTGCTCTGTCGAAAACAACACAGCTGAAAAAAAACCCTTCTCCATGCACGAAACCCTAGAAAACATTATGCTTTTATTTATATAGCTATGCTCACTGGAATCGAAGTGGCTGCCTACAATACTCTTCGTGGGCCTTCTTTTCGTGGGCCTATTTAGGTCCTTTCACAATTCTCCACATCGGCGAAGTTTTCCCAAAACTGAGCCGATACCAACCAAAACAAATACCTCACTTGTTGCACCTAGTACGAAGTGAAACAATTCACGACAACGAACTCAATCCACAACAAATCGAGAACCCAAATGAGAATGCGAACACTCTCCAAATGTCGGTATTAACTCACCAAATCGATCTCACCCCTATCAAAATCAACTAATCTAAACCGGCTGCATCATAAATGACTGCCTACGTATTCTCTTGCCCAAGGAATCAAGCCTCACGTAGTTTACCAAAAATAGCCGCTAACGACCTCAATCCAATAGAAGAGTTCGCAACCCTTCTTCAATATCATTAACTCTGCGACTGATAGGACCTCCAATGGCCTTAAAGTGTAACGAATCAAACGCCTTCACCTGAGGTGAACCAATGGCCATATCCAAACTATGTCTGCCAGCTGCACTCAAATCAACCAACTCATCATCTACATCCAAATCTAAATGATCTCCAAACTGTGTCACCTTAGCTGGAATCCCAAACGATGCAGTATGATCTGGAGTAATCTTCACCCAATGTGAAGTAGCATCACTCTCCATCTGCTATGATACCTTTATGATCTGTCCAAAACTCTCCACCTGCTGAGAGTCAATAGGCGCCCTCATCGAAGCCTCATCCAAAGTGACACAACCAGACCTATCTTCCAATGGAGTTTTACCTCCAATCACAGCAGTTGATAAATCTTTAATAGGATGACCCAAATATGTCGAAGCCTTAGTCCAGAAACTCTTCTGCAGACCATTGCTTGACAGCAAACACCGATGCTCCTCTACCAAGGCACGGTTCTCCAAATTTGCCACCCTATCTAGTTGCCCTAAGGTTTTCTTTCCAACAAAGTGTCTCGAAATGTCGTGAGCTCAACTCTAATACAGAAACAGGCACATCTTGTACCTCCCACCAAAACCAGAATGGATACCTTCACCTTTCTGTCTATCACATACTTCTTCAATCTGTTGGATACTACCAGGACTTTCTCCAAAGGGGATTTGGTTGCAACCCAAACACGCTTAGAACAGCCACCAACAAAGGAAACCAAACATCTATTTCCTCCCAATGATGCCTCCTTGGAAGGCCCCCAAACATCCACGTGAACCCCATCTGAAAGACCCACCGTGCGGTGAATAGAGGTGCCAAACTTCACCTTGGTCTTCTTGCTCACACCAAAGTGTTCACTGGATTTCAAATTGCAGGTCTTCGCACCCTCTTTCAATCTATGCAAGGAATCAATACTAGAATGGTCAAGCCCCAAATGCCGCAGTCTAGTCGAATCAATAGAAGTTACCACTTCTCCACCTGCTACTATACCTCCAGTCAAGTAATACATGTTATTCCTCCTGACGCCCTTCATCACAATCTGAGAGTCTTCCATAATCTTGAGAACGATGTCCTCAATTCAAACATTCAGACCCTCTCTAACCAAAGCTCCAATCGAGATCAAGTTCTTCCTCAAGGAAGGAACATATCTCACATCATATATCTCCCTAACAGTCCCGTCAAACATCTTGATGCGAATTCTTCCTATCCCAAGTATCTAGCATGCACAGTTATCAGCCATGTACACCACATCACTATCCAGCTTCTCAAAACTGGAGAACAATTTCCTTCTAGGGCACACATGATAGATCACACCACTATCCAACATCCATTCAGATTCCTCCAAATAGCTATCTGTAGGATTGATAGAAAGCAAATAAATAGAAGAGTCAGAAATATTACCATCCGATATAACGATGTTTGCTTCTGATAATGATTGCTTCTCTTTTCCCTTCTGCTTATTCTTCATCTATTCGTCGAGCTTTGGATAGTCTTTCTTCCAATGACCAGTCTCCTTGTACCAAGCACACTGATCTTTTCTAATTGTAGGATATCCTACTCTAGACTGTGACTTCCAATTCTTTCGATTTGGACCATTCCCTCTTACGGCCAACACCTCTGCTACCGGCTCAACTGAAGCCTCATTATCATTCTTTCGAAGCTAAAAATTCACAAGTGCAGCAGTGACCTCACTATATGAAAGAGACGCATTCCCATTAATCAGAGTAAGAATGAAGGTCTCATATTCCTCGTCGGGTAAGAAATTCAACAATAGCAACGCCTTGTCCTCATCTTCAATCATGACGTCCACATTCGCCAAATCCGCAAGAAGCTTTGTGTAGGTGTTCATGTGATTACTAATTGAGGTTCCCTTCTTCAACTAGAAACGATAAAATCTCCTCTTCAAATGCAAGCGGTTCTCAACACTCTTTGTCAGATACTTGCTTTCGAGAATCTCTCAAATCTTCTTCGCAGAAGTCTCATTCATCATATTATATTTTAGATCTTAAGTCAAACAAGACCTAATCACACCACACGCCGTACGATTCATCTTCTTCCAAACCTTCTCTTCAATATCATCTGGCTTGCCATCTAACTCCAATGTATCCTCCAAATTCTGCGCGTTCAGCGCATTCAAAACCTCGCATCTCCATAATTCAAAGTTCTTTGTGCCATTAAACTTCTTCACATCTATCTTTATAGAGTGGATATTCAAAGTCTGAATGGTCTTCGTGCCAGAAGCACCACCCTCGACACCTGAAGCACCTTCTTTCCCCGACATCTTACTCAACGCACCAACAAACGAATAATAGAGCCAAAACTAAAAAGATAGAGTCTTTACCAAAAAATCTCATATTTATCACCAAACAAACTCCTAGACGAGCTTTCAAATCGATCTACTCCTCTAACCAAAACAAAAAACCCTAGATCTGAATCTGGACTCTGATACCACTTGTTGTGCAGCGAAAATTTCGGCAGAGTTTCTGGTGCACAATAAGAGAGAAAGATCACAATAAGAATTTCCGTCTCACCAAGAAAATAAGAATCTGAAGTGAATATCTTAACAAAGTGAGATATCAGCTCTTCCTCTCATTAGTTCTAGGACTGACTTGTTGAGGGAACCAAATAGACTATTACAATGGCCATAAACAACAAATTACCTATGTCCACGGGGCAAGGAGGGGGAGATCTACAATTAGAGGGAGAGAATACAACTAGGGTTTATAATCTCACAATCTAAATCCTCAAACAAACTCTCAAATCCCTCACAATCTCTCTCTACAAAAGGATGCACAAAACCCTAAAAACAACTACTCAAAATCGCCTTTTTCTTCACAAAAGAGCGACTGTTTTTCTCCAAGCACAAAGCCACACACCGACTTTTCCTCTGCCTTGCACGTCCTCTGTTGCTTGCACTTTTTCGCCCCTGCCTGCTTTTTTTTCAAGCCCTGCTCTACTGAAAACAACACAGCCAAAAAAAACATTCTCCTTGCACGAAACCCTAGAAAACATTAGGCTTCTATTTATATAGCTATGCCCGTTGGAATCGAAGTTGCTGCCTACAATACTCTTCGTGGGCCTGTTCAGGTCCTTTCACATGATGCTTATAGCCAGTAGTTAGGCTCCACAAAATATATTAACTTTATATTATAGTTTGTTATTGGTAGTACTGTTGGCAATGTCATTATCTTTCCTCTTTATCTTATTATTCATGCTTTTCTGATGTGAGTTCTCTTTTGCTAATCACTCAATTGGATATATTTAGTTTTTATAATATCAGATGTTAGAATATTCTCTTCTGTTTAAAAAGTGTTGACATGATTTTCTTAAAAAAATATATACACATAGTAGCAATAGTATATACTTCAGTTTAACTCAAACATTGGTTTAGAACCATTTAGAGTAAGGTTCTTTCTATGCTAGGATGGTGATATAGTGATTACATAATCCAAAAATTAAAGAAGAAATTTGTACAAAGAAAAAGTCATTTAATATGTCAAATTAACAACTAATTTTTAAAATATACATAGGCAGCACAGATAGCTATAGAAAGTAAGGCATATATCTTCATGAAAATTTTATAGTGAGTGACCAACTACAATCATCCTAATTTAAGTATAAATAATTATTATTTTAGTTATTAATTTGATACGCGTAACTATAGAATAAATCTCAAGCAAAAATAAGAATTGAGATTGTATTATCATGTAGGTAAATAAATAAATGTTATTAGAGATCCTCTTTATATTAAAGTTAAAAGTAATAATTTAAATTACTAAGCGCCAAATATTAGTTCTTGTGAGAAAGTAAAAGTAATTATAGTCTATATACTTATATAGTCAATCAATCAAACGTATTAATATTATGATGACAACAATCAAAAATATATAGTGGGTTCACATTAAATATAACTTATAAAAAATAGTACATTAAAGTCAAAATTCTTTTAACCACTATATAGATTGTCTGAACATTTTTGCATGTATAAATTAACTATCCTGGCTAGGAATAGTGATGTGCGCACTTAAATATGGCCTAATACATCTTAAGAACGACTTACTCTTTAATATCATCATTCGTTGCAATATGTATACATTACAGCGAAAATACAATAAAAATTTAGAAAACTACAAAAAAAAACACCCTCAATTTTTTTAAAAACCCCTAAAATTTTGTAATTTATAAATACACAAAACTATTAAATATTACATTAAAATCAAAGAATTATAAAAAACCATTAAAAATTTTTAAACTTTGGAGGGGTAATTTGAAATGTACTAAACTTTAATGGTGTTTTTTATAAATTTCAAATTTAATAGATTTTCAATTAGTTATGTTCTCTTAAAAAAGTTATGAGTAATATTGATCATGAAAAGTTTTCTTCCTAAACCTACACTTTTAAAGGGAGTATGATATGTTTTGAAAGTTTTGAATTTTTTAGGGATTGTTAGTAATTTTGTATATTTATTTTAGTATTTATGGGATAGAAATTCTCATGATTTTTTTTATAAATTATGAAATTTAGGGGTTTTTTGTAATTTTTAAACTTAAAGGCATTTTTAATATATTATAAATTGTTTATAGATTATTTATAATCCATATGTTTTTAATTTACTAATGAGTTTCAAATTCTCAGGGTGTTTTTTAGAATTTGAATTTTGAGTGTTTGTATGTAATTTTTGAAACATTAAGGGTATTTTCTATAAATTATAAATTATATATGGGATATTTGTAATTTCTATTTTTCAATGAAAATTATCAGGATTTTTATAAATTTTATAATTTTGAGGGTTTTATTTTGTAATTTGTAAAAAGTTTAGAGTGCTTATTGTAAATTCCATAAATTTTCAGGTGTTGTTTGTGTTATTTATAGGTTTTTAGTGTGTTTATAGGTTTGAAATTTTCAAGGTGTTTTTTATATATTTTTTATTTTAGGGGTATTTTTTTAATTTTTAAAACTTACAAGATATTTTCTCCAAAGTTAAAAAACTTACAATTTCTAGCTAGCATATGTTTTTCAGATTTATCATTGAATTGAAATAAGTAAAATTTATAATTTTCTAGATGTTTTAATAAAATTTTGAATTTGTAAGGTTATTTTTGCAATTTAAAAAACTTAGAGGATATTTTTTACAAAGTCCAAAAACTTTTAGGTGATGGCTAGCATGTGTTTTTTATATTTATCTACAAATTAAAATAAGTAAATGATTTGAATTATATCAAATGCATCTCCTTTATCCAATAACATGTTAAATCTCATTATGAATAGGATAAATTATTTAATTACCAATTCAAAGAAGATGTGATAATTAGAATAGATTAAGATAACAATTTAATATTCAAAAAATAGTAAGGATATATATATATATATATATATATATATATATATATAATACTCTCTTTAAAAATATGAGTTCGTAAAAATCTTTCAATGGTCAATATTGCCCTTACTTTTTGTTGATATTACATTGTTATCCTAATCTATTCTAATTATCATATCTTTTTTTAATTGGTAATTAAATGATTTATCATATTCATAATAAGACTTAACATGTTAATGGATAAAGGAGGACGTTTGATATAATTCAAATCCTTTATTTACTTCAGTTCACAAAGAAATTTAAAAAACATATGTTTGCCAGCACCTAAAAGTTTTTTAACATTGTAAAAAATATCCTCCAAAATTTTAAATTATAAAAACATCTCTAGAAATTCAAATTTTCATTAAAACATCTTGAAATTTATAAATTTTACTTAATTTAATTCAGTGAGAAATCTAAAAAAATATATGCTAGCTAGAAACTATAAGTTTTTTTAACTTTAGAGATATTCAACCACATGCATTACAGTAAGAAAATAAACTAAAATAAATAATTATAATATTTAACCACGTGCAATACATGTGCATAAAAACTAGTATATATTTATATATCACTTATTTCTCTATGATTTTTCTCTTACAATTCTAGCTCAGTTGATTACTTCCTTGTTGTTGCTACAACGACAATG